GAGAATTGGATACGCACTTTTGATAAGCTGTTTGATGCAATCAACTGCCCGGTAGAGCAACGAATTGACATTGCTGTTTATTATCTGCATGAAGAAGCAGATAAGTGGTGGCTTAATGTGGGACCAAGGTTGCGCGCACAACCGGACTTCACTTGGGAACGGTTCAAGCAAGCACTGCGAAAGAGGTTTTACCCGCCACACGTGCAGGCAGAAAATTATGACAAATTCCTGCATCTGAAACAAGGAGAAATGACGGTACAAGAGTATCACACTAAATTTGTCTCACTGGCGGAATTCGCATCATCACTAGTGCCCGATGAGGAAAGCAAGGTCGAGAAGTTCGTCAGGGGACTTAACTATGACACACAGAAGGCCTTGAGTGTGCAAGAATGCCAAACATTGGATGATGCCTATTATAGAGCTGCAAAACACTATCGGGTTATTCAACTCCAACGAGAAGCCCATAAGAAAATCCGAAAGAACGAGGAGGAGAATAAAGCAAAGGAGAAGAGGCTCAAAACTCATCATGAGGAACAACAACTTCCATGGAAGAGGGACAATCGACCGCATGAGGGGAGGAGATTCCCTGGGAAAGGCCCGAAGCATAACCATCAAAGTGGGACAGGAGATAGACATTTTCATTGCTGGAAGTGCAAGAGGGATCATCCGGGTGTTGACTGTGACGGCAAGCTCGTGAATTGCTTCAATTGTGGAAAGATGGGACACCGGTCATTCGAATGCCTGAGTAAATTGAAGACACTCCCTCAAAACCAGGGGAATCAAGGTGGGAATCAACCTGGAGCTGGGGCGAATCGCGTCAACAACAACCGTGGAAACGATGTGGGAGATTCCAACCGAGCCCAAAATCAGAACCACAGTGGGGGCAATAACAACAAAAACAATGCCCCTAACCAAGGTCGCATATATGTGATGAATCAAGCACAAGCACGGGCACATGATGTGGTTGCAGGTATCATTAATGTTAACAACACTCCTGCTTATGTATTGTTTGATTCTGGTGCTTCACATAGCTTTATTTCTTCTAGCTTTGTAAAGAAGTTAAAAATAGAACCTACGACTAGTATAGAATTGAATGTAAAAACAGCAGCCAATAAAGTCGTAGCTTGTAGAGAGGTATACACAGATGTACCCATAGCCATAGCTGAAGTCAATCTACCAGGAGATTTGATGCAATTTGACCTCGAAGACATAGATGTGGTTCTCGGCATGGATTGGCTCGGGAGATACAAAGCAAAGATCCTTTGCGGTGAACAAAAAGTGATCATGAAGGGCCCCGGTGGTAAGAGAGTGTCATTCAAAGCTGTGACCGACAAGCCTGGAGTCAAGCTAATGACGATACAACAAATGAAGAGATACGTTAGAAAGGGATGTGAAGCATATCTATGCATGGTGAAGGATCTCAACGCTCAGGACAAGACAATTGAGCAAATTCCGGTAGTCAATGAGTTTCTTGATGTATTTCCGGACGAAATCCCGGGGATGCCTCCGGAACGAGAGATTGAATTCTCCATCGAACTGATGCCTGGAACCACCCCTATTTCCAAGGCACCATATCGGATGGCTCCGAAGGAGATGCAAGAACTGAAGGAGCAACTAGAGGAACTACTCGAGAAAGGTTACATCAAACCGAGTGTCTCACCCTGGGGCGCTCCGGTTCTTTTTGTGAAGAAGAAGGACGGAAGCTTGAGATTGTGCATCGACTATCGAGAGCTAAACCGTGTCACTGTCAAGAATAGGTACCCTTTACCCCGCATTGACGACTTATTTGATCAGCTGAAGGGTGCAGGTGTATTCTCCAAGATAGATCTTCGATCTGGCTACCATCAGGTGAGAATAGCGGAGAAGGATATACCCAAAACCGCATTTCGCACGAGGTATGGGCATTATGAGTTCACCGTGATGCCGTTTGGTCTGACCAACGCACCAGCGGTGTTCATGGATTTAATGAATCGTGTATTTCGCCCCTATCTCGATGCATTTGTGGTGGTGTTCATTGACGACATACTTGTATACTCCAAGAGTCCAAAAGACCACGAAGAGCATTTGAAGATTGTGCTGCAAACTTTGAGAGAGAACCAGCTTTATGCTAAATTCTCAAAGTGTGATTTCTGGAGGGACCGAGTGGCATTTCTTGGTCACATCATTACTAAGGAGGGAGTTTCTGTGGACCCGTCGAAGGTTGAGGCAATAACCGAGTGGCGTGCACCTACCACAGTGACAGAAGTAAGAAGCTTCCTTGGGTTAGCAGGTTATTATCGGAGATTTGTCAAAGATTTCTCCAAGATAGCTAGACCGTTGACCAATTTGATGAAGAAGACTACAAAGTTCCATTGGGGTGAAGACTGTGATAGAGCATTTCAAGAGTTGAAGAAAAGACTGACGACTGCACCGGTATTGACACTTCCATCGGGAACTGATGGATTTGAAATATATTGCGATGCATCCAAGAGTGGCCTAGGTTGCGTGCTGATGCAAACTGGGAAGGTAGTAGCTTATGCATCCCGCCAATTAAAGGTGCATGAAGTTAATTATCCAACCCACGACTTAGAGCTAGCAGCTATAGTGTTTGCTTTGAAGATATGGAGGCACTACTTGTACGGGCCACCGTGCAAGATATTCACGGACCATAAGAGTCTCAAGTACATATTCACGCAGAAAGAACTCAACATGAGACAAAGAAGGTGGCTAGAGCTTGTCAAGGACTATGACTTGGAGATCCAATACCACGAGGGAAAAGCTAATGTCGTAGCGGATGCTTTGAGCCGGAAGACAGAGCACACGAGCCGAGCAACGTGGATATTACCAGAAGAGCTGTACCGAGAGTTTCAGAGGCTGAGTTTGGAGGTCAAGGAGCATGGTGAAGTAAAGGGTGAGATCCGGTTATACACTATGACCATTTTACCTTCTATCTTCGATGAGATAAAAGCCGGCCAACCTGGAGATGTCAAATTGGAGCGAGTCAAAGCGGGAATGAAAGATGGGGCCAATGGACCATTTCAGCTACACGAAGATGGGAGTATCCGTTATAAGGGGAGGTGGTGTGTCCCTATGAAATGCGAGCATATCAAAAAACAAATCATGGAAGAAGGACACAACACACCCTATTCGGTACACCCGGGCGGAGATAAACTATACAAGGATCTGAAGAAGAACTTTTGGTGGCCGAAGATGAAGAGGGAAGTGGCTGAGTTTGTGTCGAGATTCCTGAACTGCCAAAAAGTCAAAGCCGAGAGATGTAAACCCAAGGGACTTGTGCAATCCTTGGAGGTACCGACGTGGAAATGGGACTCGATTTCGATGGACTTTGTTGGAGGTTTACCCTTAACGAAGTCTGGGAAAGATAAGATTTGGGTGATCGTGGATAGATTGACCAAGACTGCTAGGTTCATTCCCATGAATGAGACCTGGAGTATGGATAAGTTGGCGAGAGCCTACATCAAGCACGTGGTCAAATATCACGGTGTACCCCGAGACATTGTGTCCGACCGAGATTCCCGATTCCTATCACAATTTTGGAAGGAATTACAAGCCGCTATGGGGACTAAGCTAAAGCTAAGTACTGCATTTCATCCGACTACGGATGGTCAGACTGAGAGGACTATTCAGACGCTTGAAGATATGTTGAGAGCATGCGTGCTGGACTTGCAAGGAGCATGGGACGAGCACTTGGACCTTATAGAGTTCTCGTACAATAACAGTTATCACACAAGCATTAAGATGGCTCCGTACGAGGCGCTTTACGGTCAGAAGTGTAGAAGTCCATTGTGCTGGGGTGATATGGTGGATAAGGTCGTTTTAGGGCCACAATACTTGCAAGATACAATGGAAAAAGTCAAACTCATTCAGGCGAGGATGAAAGCGGCACAAGACCGTCAGAAATCGTATGCGGACCTCGGGCAAAAACCAGCTGAGTTTGAGGTAGGAGAAAAAGTACTACTCAAAGTATCTCCTACTAAAGGCGTAATGCGATTCGGGAAGAAGGGTAAGCTAAGCCCTAGATTCATCGGCCCTTACGATGTTCTGGAGAGGGTGGGAAGAGTGGCCTACAGACTGGCTCTACCCACCGAGTTGAGCAAGGTAATAAGTCACTTGAACCCTTTCTAAATTCTTTAGAAGTCTAAGTTATAACCTAACGATACTTTGGCATATACAAGGTACATGACGTATTTCATATCTCCCAGTTGAAGAAGTACGTTCACGATGGGTCGCATATTATCAATCCCGAGGTAATACCCTTAACGTTAAATAGTCAATACATGAATCAACAAATCTGTGAGTTAACACTTTAAACGACTAGGTGATTGAGATGGATGAGACACTCACGTATGAAGAGAAGCCAGTGAAGATTCTAGACACTAAAGCACGTGAGACTAGGAGGAAGACCGTAAATATGGTCAAAGTTTTGTGGTCAAATCACTTGTCTGAAAATGCCACATGGGAACTAGAGGAGGATATGCGTAGGCAATATCCAGAACTATTTAATTGAGGTATGTTCTAGGATGTAACCTCTCTTTTAGGGGGGTGGGTTATAATACTCCATATTAATAAAACACTTTAGATCTTTTGTCTTAGCTTATGCTTCGAGGACGAAGCATTTCTTTAAGGGGGATGAAATGTGACATCCTAAAAATTTAAATAGAATATAATAATAATAATAATAATAATAATAATAATAATAATAATAATAATAATAATAACATATAGTATAATTATAATAATAATAATTAAAATAAATATTAAAATAAAATAACACAAAAATAAAATTTGCTTGATAAGAGTAAACATACGTACTTTATCTAATAAAGAGATAAAATACTCCATGCTGGTGGATATTGGATAATACGTATGTATGATATTATGGATACCACATACATACATAGTACATACTTTTATCATGCATGGATAACATACATACATAAGATTATACCAATGGTCAGGAGCAACCGTAACTAATGTTATTATTATCGTAGTAATAACTGCGGCAACTCAACGGACTTGGAAAACTCTAGGAGCAGACGGAATACCACGTAGTAGATATTCTAGGACCTTCGTACGCCTATATAAATACACATCGGTATACTTGCAAAACCCAGAAAACGAAAAGTACGAACAATAAAAAGAAAGCACCCTTTGAGCGATTGTAAGCTATTATAGTCTCTGAGAGAGGATTCTGTGGGCGAAGAAAGCAACTAAAACCGTCGAGAAACGAAGCGGGAAAAGGCTGCCGGAGTTCGCCGGAGGAAACAGTTGCCGCGCAGGAGAGAGAGAGAGCTCAACTCCGCCACTAAAGCTGCGTTGCCGGAGGGGGGAGAACCACCTCTGGATTTATCACCTGCCGCCGAAGAAGGTACTGTCGTCCTCCATAGTTTTCCGACCTCCCTGGCTGCTCGACGAAGAAGAGGATGCAGAGTAGTCTGCGTTTTGTTTTCTTTGTTTGGGTTTGACCAGGTTGAGTAAAATCAATTGGGCTGGCTGAAAATATTGGGCTGAATGATTTAAAATATGGGTTAAGTAGTTTAGATAGCTGGACCGAAATGATTTGGTTTAATCATGAAAATAATAAGATAATAATAAGAATAATAAGTGTGATTACATAAATAGATAGGAATGTTAATTTATATGGCCGATACTAAGTTACATTGTTAATTTGAAAATTATCACTTTTAATTAACTTAATGTTTTAATTGAGTAATATATAGTTAGTAAAAATAGACTTGTTATAATAATTAGATGACTTAATGTGGACTCTTGTAAATGGATAACCGGTGATTAATATCAATTACAATCGGACTTGTATGATGAGTGAACTAAATTAAATAAATGGTGTTAAAACAATACATTTATAAACGAAATTGAAATACAAAACTGGTGAAGTATTGGGGGACCTAATTAATTATAATAATAGGGTTTAATTAGAATAACTTGATAACTATGGGCAAATAATAAAATATATATAATTGGACTATTATTGAATTATATAAATGAACTAAAAGTAAATAAAAATGAATTATCAAAATAATGAGATATTATCACACGCGAGTGAATGAGAATAAATAAACTAAACTATAGTACGTATTTATAGGTTAAGCGAACGATTATCTATAATTGAATTAATATTGTGAATAATTAGACTACTATTTAGTACGAAATTAATAACGAAAATATTAAAGGAAAGAATTATGTGAACCAACTAAATTAATTAATTTACATTAAAAAAAAAACGTGTCATTAATCATACACAAATTATAATGGACTACTATATAGGACTAATTTAAGCGACTAGATCATAAGAGGGGTAAATTACAAATAAGGGGTAGAAGGATTAGACTCTAGTTTGGATGAGGTATTGATTTGTGAATTTTAATAGAAGGTAATTATTTTGAGTGAGGAGCAAACTAGAAGATATCTCTAGGAGTACTTGGAGTTGAGGTAAGTCCTATGTCAACCAAAATGCTTTTACCTCGGATATTATATATGATATGTATTTCTATTTATTTGAGTAATTGTTGTTGAGATTATGATTATGTGGATTTTTAGGAATTGTGAACTATTTGTGTAAAGTATGTTGTGTTGTACGTTTTGGAGAAATGTGAATAAAAATCCTTGTTCTAAAACTATATAATAGATATAGAATTTTTTTGGGAAATAATTCAAGATAAAATGAACCTTTCGATGTAAGGGCATCGCGGGAGAAATCCGCGGTGTCGGTGTTCTCCACGACCTTGACTGTGGGGGGGTGGTTAGGGCTGCTACTACTGGTTTGGGAGGCTCGGTAACCAATCCGAGAAATTTGAGAATTATTTGGGAGGCTCCGTAACCAATCCGAGAAAAAATTGAGAATTTTATCTTTGGGCATCAGACCCTTTTATTTTAGTAGTAGCAGTAACCTAGTCATCTAGGGGTAAACCCCTTTTTGGTGTGGTAGGGGGACGTTGACGTCCGGACTACTTGGGCTTCTTACTACTCGGAGGGCTTGGAATCCCTTTTGGGGGTGTGCACACTTAAGGTAGAAGTTCAGTTTCCATGGGAGTTGTGGTACCGGCAAAAGTTCCGGGGTGGCCGTACATAACAACGGTCCACTGGGCTCAATATGATCTTGAGCACCGCCCTTCGAATCTACTAGGGAGTTTAGTTATAAACGAGATTTTGAGGAGAGCAAAGACAAGAGAATTTTACTTGACAAAAATCATTTTTATATATTAAATACAAAACCTTATTTTCATCAAACCTATTATTTTACGGGGTTGGGTGGGGCTTACTTAGCGAAAGCTAATTTTTGTCTCTTTTGTTTTCTTTTCCTTCTTGTTTGTACAGATGGTTATGCTTTGGATGATGACATGCATGCTTACAGTTCTTGAGAGCGCTAGCTAGAGATATTACTAGTAATAAGACTCTATTTATGAACTTTTGAATTAAGAACATGTAATAAGACATCTTTACTACTCTAATTTCCTCACTTTAGAATATTTGAACAAGTACTTTTGTTAGCCTGTGCACTTAGCGATGGTTTTGCTAAGTGTGGCGGTAACACCTTCAATTTTCAATGATGTTACTCCGCTGCAACATTTCAATATTTCAATCTAAGCTCATTTTCCCTTTGCATAATTAATTATTTAAACTATTATTTTGGGTGGAAAATTGGGGTGTTACAGATCTCAAGAAGGCAATGATGGCCGCATGGGGAGACTCATCCGATGATGAAGAAGAAGAAAATGACAAGAACTCCAATCATGCGGGTCTATGTCTTATGGCACACTCCGACGAGGAATCCGACCAAGAAAGCTTTGAGGTAAACTTTGAAAACTTCCTATCCAAGTTTGACTCTCTATCCAAAACCAAAACTCGGAAAATTTTCAAAAGATTGACTATTGAACTTAATGAGAGTCTTTCCGAAAATGATCATCTTAAATCACGTATCACTGAGCTTGAGTCTAAACTCGAGGAAGCCACGAGAGCCAAAATAAGGCTTGAAACAAAAGTGGGAGAGTTAGTAGATGAAAGGCTTAAGTACAGTGAAGTGGTTCTAGAACAAGATCAAATTATTTGTTCTCTTAAGCTCGATAGTATGAACAAACAAGTTGATCATGATGAAAAGCTTCTCTCAAAAATACCGAGTGTTGGTTGTTTAATTGATCATCTTCATCGTCTAGTTGCCGAGTGCACTGATTTTAAAAATAGACCGGAATATCAATCCTATAGTGCAACGAACAAAACCAGGTCTAGACATCATTCTGGAACTGGTCCTTCTCAGCACAATAAGAAAGTAAACGAGACTGCAGGTCTCGGATATGTCCCAAAGGATATCCGATCTAATCAAAAATCAAACTTTCAGAACCAACCCTTTAAGGATAAAAGAACTCAAGGACAACCCAGTTCTAGACTATATCAACAGCCACCTAGAACTGGACCAAACTGGTTCGATAGACTGGTTCAGAGGCACAAAAACGGTTATGGACAAACGCCTAACCGGACTTTTTACAAAAGAACTAGAGGCTTTCACGGTAAATGGAAACCCAAATACGTTGATACTTATGATAACCGAGTTTGCATGCATTGTGGCAAAATCGGTCATCTTCGGTATCAATGTTACTCTCGGCAAGAGACCCTAGATAGATGTTATGATTATGTTAGATCTTCCTCAAATAAATACAAAATGGAACCCAAGCAGGTCTGGGTTCCACGCACTAAACCTTAATCCTGGAACAGCGCCGAGTGAGGGGGAACAATCACTGGTTCCTTGACAGTGGTTGTTCTAAGCACATGACGGGAGACAAATCTTTGTTCCTCTCACTTCGGCCATTTAACGGTGGAAAGGTGACATTTGGAGACAACGGCAAAGGAGAGATCATAGCCGTGGGAAAAGTTGGAAAGTCACCTAGCCATGCTATCGATAATGTATTTTTAGTCAAGGGTTTGAAATTTAATTTACTAAGTATTTCTCAATTTTGCGATCGAGGTAATAGTGTTGTTTTTGATCATAACGTTTGTCGCATTGTTAATAACGAATCACAACAAGTTATACTTGAAGGCAAGAGGCTCGAAAATACATATAAAGTAGATCTTGATTCTTTGCCTAATATTAGTATGACTTGTTTGAGCGTTATTGATAACGATCCTTTGCTATGGCATAAAAGACTTGGACACGCTAGTTTTTCATTAATAAATAAACTTAAAAATAATGATTTAGTTATTGGACTGCCCAATATGAAATTTTCACTTGACCATGTTTGCTCGGCTTGTGCCACCGGAAAACAATCTCGATCATCCTTTAAAACAAAGAATTTGGTGAGCACAAGCAAGCCCATAGAACTGATTCACATGGATTTGTGTGGTCCAATGTCAGTCCGTAGCCGAGGAAATAAAGAATATGTTCTAGTTATTGTTGATGACTTTTCAAGATTTACATGGACTATCTTTCTTGCTAGCAAGAAAGATACTTTTAATGAGTTTGCTATTTTTGTAAGGAAAGTTGAGCATCAAACAGGTCTACAACTAATCAAAATCCGATCGGATCATGGAACTGAGTTTGACAATTCTCTCTTCGATGCCTTCTGCAAAGAACGAGGGATAGACCACAACTTCTCTGCACCTAGAACTCCACAACAGAACGGAGTGGTAGAACGGAAGAATAGAACTCTGGAAGACATGACTAGAACTATGCTTATTTCCAGCGGTCTAGCTAGGAGTTTCTGGGCCGAGGCTCTAAACACAGCATGTTACATCATTAATCGAGCCATGATCCGCCCACTCCTAGGGAAAACACCCTACGAACTACTCAAAGGAAGGAAGCCCAACATTAGTCATCTAAGAACTTTTGGATGCAAATGTTTCGTCCACAACAATGGAAAAGATAACATTGGCAAATTTGATGCTAGAAGTGACGAGGCAGTCTTCCTCGGATATTCTCCTCATAGCAAGGCTTACAAGGTTCTAAACAAACGCACACAATGTGTGGAAGAAAGCATTCATGTAATCTTTGATGAAGCACTTGCCTCAAAGACAATCCAAGTCGATGATGGTGAGCTAGGGATTACTCGCAAGAAGTCACAATCTCAAGGAGATGAAGGAACTACCTATCAAACTGATGAAGTACCTCCAACAAATGAAAATGAACAATCTGGAACTGGAGAAGAACCTGAGCAGAACACTGACACTGGACCTATAGAACCAATAGAACCAGTTTCAGATACTCTTTACAACTTGGTGGACAAACCCAACGCTCCTAGGGGTTGGAAGCTTCATAGATCGCATCCGCTGGATAACCTCCTCACCGATCTAAATCAGGGAGTAACAACTAGATCTAAACTTAAGAACTTTTGTGCTTTCTCTGCTTATTTATCACTTATAGAACCGGAGAACCATGAAGTGGCTCTCTCCGACACTGACTGGGTTCTAGCTATGCAGGAGGAACTAAATCAGTTTGAAAGAAACCAGGTGTGGCTTCTAGAACCAAGGCCCAAGAACAAAACCGTCATAGGTCTCAAATGGGTATTTAAGAACAAACTTGACGAACATGGTCAAATCACAAGGAACAAGGCAAGACTTGTTGTCAAGGGCTATAACCAACAAGAAGGAATAGATTTCAACGAAACATTTGCACCGGTGGCAAGACTAGAAGCAATCCGAATGCTCATAGCATTTGCGGCTCATATGGGTTTCACCCTCCACCAAATGGATGTCAAGACGGCCTTCTTGAATGGATATCTAAAGGAAGAGGTATACGTAGAACAACCACCGGGCTTTGAAAATCAAGATCTTCCTAATCATGTCTTCAAATTAGATAAAGCACTTTATGGCCTCAAACAAGCACCTCGTGCTTGGTATGAACGCTTATCTAAATTTCTTTTGGAAAATGGTTTTGAAAGAGGAAAAATAGATAAAACTCTTTTTCTAAAAATAAAAGATCAAGCCCTATTGGTTGTTCAAGTCTACGTAGATGATATTATTTTTGGTGCTACTAATGATTCTCTTTGTGATGAATTCTCTAATCTTATGAGTTCCGAATTTGAGATGAGTATGATGGGGGAACTCAATTTCTTCCTTGGCCTACAAATCAAGCAATCAAGCAAGGGAACTCAAATATCTCAACAAAAGTATCTCAAGGAACTCCTAAAGAAGTACGGGATGAGTGAAGGCAAAACCATGACTACACCTATGGGAACAAATGATAGGCTAGATGCGGATGAACAAGGAAAGAGTATAGACCAAAAGATGTATCGAGGAATGATTGGGTCCCTATTGTATCTCACTGCCAGTAGACCTGATATTGTTTTCAGTGTAGGTCTATGTGCTCGGTTCCAGGCTAATCCCAAAGAATCTCACCTCAAGGCTGTGAAAAGGATCCTCAAATATCTCAAAGGAACGGCTGATTTATGCTTATGGTATCCACGTAATGAGAATTTTGAACTAATTGCCTATTCAGATTCTGATTTTGCAGGTGATTTATTACATAGAAAAAGCACGTCTGGAACTGCTCACTTCCTGGGTCCTTGTCTAGTTTCTTGGAGTTCTAAGAAACAAAATTCAATAGCACTCTCAACAGCGGAGGCCGAGTACGTAGCTGCTGCATCATGTTGTTCCCAATCATTATGGATAATGCAGCAATTAAGCGACTATGGAACTAAATTAAATTGCACACCCATTATGTGTGACAATACAAGTGCAATTAGCATCTCAAAGGATCCGGTCATGCATTCTCGGACCAAACATATCCATATTCGACATCACTTCCTAAGAGATTGCGTGGAAAAAGGGCTAATCAGAATGGAACATTGCAATACTGACAAGCAAATTGCAGATATTTTTACAAAGCCCCTGGGAAGAGAAAGGTTTGAAATTATTCGACTCGAACTTGGTTTAATTAACTCCTAAAACCGGCTTATTCTTTTTATGCATACATATCCTTTTGTGAGAATATTTTTAATTATTGTGCGAATATTCTTAAAAATTATGGCCTTATATAGATCATATTCAAATTTTGAAAATTGTTAGGACCGAATGATTTAAATAAGGAAGGTTAATAATCATGATTGTCCCTTTCCAAGAAAATCTGCCTCCAGATCTTTCGCTTCTCCCAAAACCATTTGGACGCCCACTTTCCAGTCTCTCCTCCTTCCTATTTTAAATTACTTAAGGCTTTCCTTCCATATCTAACCAACATGGTTAAAATTAAGAAGTGTGCTACTCCACTTCGTCGCTCAAACCGAACAACTCGAAAGCCTCCATCCTCCACCACTCCGGCTCAGATTGACCTCGAACCCTCATCATCCTCCACCGCAATGGCCACAGAAAGCCAAGAAGTCAACATGCCACACGGTTCCCCCTCCCCTGCTTCATCTCAGGGGGAACACGAGTCGGACGCAAAATCATCTCCACCACCTACTCCCTCCACACTGCTCAAAGCTAAACGAAAACCTCTAACTAGAGACGGGAAGGTTCTCCCACGAAAGGTCCCGCGCACCAAAGCAATCGCCATGGGAATCATCCCCCCCGATAGGCCAGTCAAGGTGTACCCCAGATTGGGAAAGGTGGCGGAGGCAGAAGCGGCAAAATTCAAGGCGGACTTCCTCACAAGGAAGCACATCAAGGTATTAACCATACCCTTTGAAGCTTTCTCCAAACTATCCACTGATTTCATCGACCTAATTTCTTTCCAAAAATGGAACAACCTGTTCGAATCTAAAACTTGTCTTCCTGTGTATCCTGAACCCACGGCTGACCTTTTAGCAAATTTGATTATCCAAGACAATGTCATGGTCTCTAGAATCAATGGTGTAAAGCTGTTGTTTGATACATCTGATTTGAGTACATTATGGAATGTTCCTTGTTCTGGGATACACCCACTACAAGAAATTTGACATTTTAGGACGGAAATATTTGTCACATAAACATTAATATTTGTCACTAAAACTATTATATGACAAAATTTGAGCGTCACAGCGATCGTCATGATAACTTCGTCACATAAGGTATAAATGACAATTTTTTAATTCGTCATTTTATGTTTAGTTTTAGTGACGCGTTAGCACTTTGTCATCATTAGTGGACATTTTTTGTGACGTCAAATATGTCACGTTTGTACCAATTTTTTTGTCATCAAAGTATAATTTTCGTCACATTATCTAAACACAATAAATGACAAAATCTTAATTTGTCATTAAAACGTAACTTATAATGACAGTTCACACGATGCTCCATAAATGAACAGATTATGATGACAATAAATTTGTCACTAATAAGTTACTTATGTTGTCATTTTTGTAAAAATTCGTCATTATATAGATTTATTTAATGACAATTATTTCGTCACGAAAAAGGTATAATACGACGACATAAAGTGTCATGAATAAAACAGAAACAATGACGAAAATTTAACTGTCAATAAAGTAATACATTTTGTGACAATATTATTCATCACAAAAAGGCTTCCATAGTGACAATGATAAATATTTGTCATTATTCAAAAATATTATTGTGACAAATTAAGTGTCACAATAGACTACCTTTAGATGACGAATATGTCATTGTCATTTAATGAAATCATTAGTGACGATAAACTAATTAATTGATAAGACGATTGAATATTTCAATGTTGTCACGAATTATAAAATTTTAGTGACGAAATAGTTAATTGTCATATTCAACTTTTATATTATGT